AACTATAGCCTACAGTGTTTGTTTGTGTTGTGAAACATTATGTAGGCTGATGATATGTAGCCTACATATTTTTAAAGCTAATGAAGTAAGGAATCGGAAAAAGTCACAAGTAGGTATGATGGTAAAAAGTTATTTTCACCTATGATTATGTATCAATTTGAGAACGTTTTGAATTGTTTGCGCATTTCGAGAAAATGGAGTGTACAGTATTTAGTAGCCTATATAATTTTTTTACCAAATTTTTTACACCCAAACCAATATAAACATGTTGTAGTGTATTTATTTACCTTTATAAAAATGTATAACACCTTGGGTAAATCATTATATAGCATATATAGCACCTCTGAATGTCAGAATCGTCATTTTTGGACATGATGCTAACAAAATACAGTATTTAGTATAGGCTATAACTTTTTTACAAAATTTTTTTACCCCCAAACCATTATAAACATGTTGTAGTGTATTCATTTACCTTTATAAAAATGTATAACACCTTGGGTATATCATTATATAGCATATAGCATGGCGAACTAAGGTCCGTCTCGTACAACAATCTCTGAATGTCAGAATCGTCATTTTAGGACATAATGCTAACAAAATACAACCTTTTATGAACACTTTTTCACACAATTCAGTAATATTTATGGATGAAGATTACTGTTATACACACACACAAACTTCTCTAACACTAACACTACGAACTAATAATGTATTTAGTAATAAATCGCGGATAACACGAGAACGAACACTATTATCGGCAACAACACAAACAAACAATGGCGAATACAAGACAGACTGTAGCAGTAATGACTCACGTCGTCTACATGCGAGCATACAGAAATAACCCTGAGTGCAGGGCTGCCACTCTCTGAATCTATATTTCTTCCTCTTCAAAATGATATACTATATGACTAGTAATAATAAATTACACTGTATGTAATTCGTATTTTCCACATCGTCCTACCAAGTCGTCAAATCCAAGAGGGCGCCACTCATCCTACACTCATCCTTCACTCATATTTGGGTTAAAATACACACATAGTGGCGTTCCCATCTTAAATAATTGATAATTGATTGATTGGTGTCTCCACAATCAAGGGACTCAATCATAATAGTACTGTGATCACGCAAGTTGTTGGTTAAGCCGGGTTTTCCTAGGCGCGGAGTCGGCGAGCGGAGAGAGGAATGCGGAGAGCGGAACGCGGAATTGAAATTAACATGGCATTCCGCTCCGCTTCTAGGAAAACAGTAACATTAAATTGCCTAGAAAGACAAGTGGAGTCCGCTCTCCGTGTTCCTCTCTCCGCTCGCCGACTACGCGCCTAGGAAAACCCAGCTTTAGGCCTAACTTGTAGCCCAATGACTTTGTGAAAAATGCACATTACATCTAATGCATGATTACTAAAGCTAACCAATTAACTTTACTAAGCAATGATGAAAGTAACAAACCTAATTTGTATTATGTATAATCAACCTGATGAATCACTAACCTTAAAAAATGCTAAAATCCAAAAACTTACTTCCCCTTAGGGTAATTGTATTCACACCAATACAGCATATACCAAAATATACATTCACCTAAGTTTACAATTAGTTTGTGTGTCAATTTAATTTTATGTTAACTTGGTGAATAAAACAAAGTACATTGGCATTATCTTATCTCTCATTAGACATAGTATAATATGATTGTTAACTTCATTTCAATGTAAAACCAGCATTTAAATTGCCTTTCAGTCTTTACTTCTACTGTATTAGTGATAATATTTACAGATTTTACTGACCTAATAGGCGAACATGAATATTTTTTTTTTTTAGGAATAAAATTGTGGTCCTTAGTATCCTCTATCTGGTTTGAATCTAATGGCTTCCTCATAAACAAAGAGATAAAACTCAAAAAACTGTTTTTAGCCTTAGACCGTGCAAATTAAATATTTTGGATGGTTGGTTATGTAGACAATGTTAAGTTTTTTGTATTAATCTGGATTACATAACTTCTAAGCTTTCAATGGTAATTTTTTCGGATTTCATAACTTCTAAGCTTTCAATGGTAATTTTTCTTATAACAATAACTAACACAGTGTATGGCTCAAAATTATATTAAAACAGCCTACTTTGCTTATTTTCAATATATTTTTAGATACAATATTGTATTTTACGGCAATCGCAGCAAGATAGATTAAATTTTAAGCTTACAAAAGAAGTTAGTTAACTTAGATTAACAAAAGGGTGTACCCCTACTGGAACACTGTAAACCCCTGTTCATTCGGCTACAAATTCCAACAGTAATTAACATTTGACTTTGTATTATATCCTAAAAAATCCCAACTTAAACAAACAAAATTCTCTTGTTTATAATACTAGGATTAAAACCGCTAAAAAACCATGGATTTGTTAGATTAGGTATTTAAAACTTGTAAAAGCCATGTAATTTCATTAAATACATAGGTACTACAAGCTAATGCATGCAATATCAAAATATCCTGAAAATACTTTTAAAAAACTAAATTGTAAAAATGGCTATTAGATAACCCCTTTTATTCTCTCAATTATTTTTTTGATATGCCTTTTATTAATTTTTAAGTACCGTAGGGTAAAAAAATTGACCAAAAATACTTTTAGATTTAATTAAAGATCTCACCACCATTATTGTGTAAATGCCACATTTTAACAATTTAATTGCTAATACATGAAGGACTATGTCTGTCTCTGACTGTACTGTATGACTTAGTCAGTCAATACCAATTATTTTACTACAGTAAAATATTATTATTATTATCCGGATCACAAATGATATTAGTGTTTTGATATCAGTCAACCCATACTTAAGTTTCTCTTTAGAATAATAACAGGAAGTTTTCAGAAACAAGCAACCTCATTCCTGTGCCTTTTTATGAGTGATATGTGTATATGTATCCTAGTAGATAATGCACTAACTAACGAGTCTGTGAATTTGTGTGATGTAGTTTTGTGAATACAATTACTATTTTGTAGTTAATAGCCTACTGAAATATACCATTACTATATGTAACAGGCACAGAAAAATAAATAATAAGCCAGCTCATCAGTATTTGTCGGCCTCATTCCTTGTTCGTTCAAGTAATTTAATAACCTATTGTTTTAACTTAAAAGTATGGTCAAAAACATAGGTTAGGATTAAGCTATTTCAAGTTCCTATATTTTCTAGCCTTAACCCATTGGGGAATGAATTAATGCGCTGCCTGCAGGACCCTCAGACAGCAATTAATTTTACCGAATTTGTAGACTTTTACTCTTAGTGTTATAGAAATAAAACCATAGGGAATAAATTAATAATTCTTTTACCATTTTTTCACAGTAAAATTGTCTACAAAAAAGTGATAATTTGATAATCAAAGTGTAAAATAATAAAAAAAAATATAGGCCTAAATCATAAAAAAAAATTAAATTTTAAAAACTAGCCTATTTATTTTCTAAAAGTAAACTTGATTTAGGTTTACAAATTCCAAGTTTAATCCAGACACCAAATGACACTTCTGTTAAATAAAGTTCAATTGATTCCCTACGTAGAAAAATCACAATTTGTTTACTTTTATAAGTAATAACATAGAAAAAAAGGACGATTGTTTTACTTTCCCGCAACTGATTTTGGGTGATATCTGGTTTCCATGGCAACAAAACCTTGTTTGTTATTCGCAAAAATTATTGAGTAAATGTGCAAAACAAGAAGCAAAATGTTTATAAACATCATAAAATTAGGAAGAAACAAAATGGGAGGAAAATTATAATAATTAAATAACTAGTGGTGCTGAGTAGCGGTGGAACGAGCGAGCGGCACTCGTAAGTCAGGGGCCGTATGAGTAACGCTCGTAAGTCGGCGCCAATGGGTTAACCATGATATTATTTATAGCTTCACCTATTAAATCACAGACTCAAAATGTATCATAACTATGGAAAGCATTTAGTTATAGGCCTAATGTTATGCTTTATTTCAATGGTACTAATTTTATAATTGCAGGTGACTGGTTGGGGAAGCTGTTTGCACTTGCGAGTCTTTCCCCCTTCGGCATCTTGTCTGGCTTTGTTGCTCTTATCCTCTTTAGGAGAGATTTACACACTGTAAGTAAAAGAAGTTATAAAATGCCTCAAACCTAGTTAATCTGTTCTTATACTGAAATGTATTGACTATTTAAGTATGAATAGTTACACTTTGTACAGTAACCACTTTTTGCTTTGTTATCTATACAAATTTCAGGAAAGTTTCACAAAAAGATATTTATATTGTATACAACCCCCACCAATCCGAACTTGTATCATACTCTTCTCGGCTAATCGACCTTGCCATCGCCAATTGGTAAATTGATCGCAGTAATATCGTGACTATATCGTTTCCTTGGCCGTGTCAAAATAATCACCGTCACCTGCAATTGCAGCAAAAATCTTGTTTCCCACCCCTGTGATCACGAAACATCATCATCATCCGCCATCACAGAAACATATAGCCATCCTCTGTGATCGTGAAAAATTATTGATCATCCCCGTGGTCATTACCATTGTCTATCGTGGTCGGGCCTGATCAATAAATGTCAGTTAATTAAGGCCTGCCATACACGTTCCGTCCCGGCCTCAAGGCCTGGCCTTGAGGCTGGAACTGCACAGTTTGGCCGGAGTCGTCACCTCTCCACACACGCTCAGTCCGAAACTGCACAGTTTGGAGTTTTTGAGACGATTTTAATTTTTTTCAACTCTTTTCTCTCTAAACGCATTTCTTAATTTTTTTCAACCACAGTGTCTTTTGTGACTTTTGGGTCCGCCTTCTTCACAAAATCCAATAATTCTTGATAGGCTGCTTCCCTCATTTCCCTGTTGTGGAATTCTTTGTTTTTTATTTTCCAGATGCATTCGTGACCTCGGTATTTCTCTATGAATTCGAGTGTCAAGTCTCTGTCTTGACCAGGTAGTTATGATTAAGGTGAAGTACTTAACGAAATCACTACACAACACTACAACACTACAACGCCAAAATGCAAAAACTATACCTACAAAACAACAAACAACACAACTCCGATTATGCTTTCACCAGTAGTTGACTGACGATGAAGAAAGGATGCGAATGCGATAATGCTTAAAATTTATAGGGGGAGGGGGGAAGCAGCACTGTCTTGGACTGCGGGATTCGCCATACACGTTCAAATCGGCCTCAAGGCCGGGCCTGGCCGGGCCTGGCCGGACGTGTTTCACATCCGGCCGTCCGGCCAACGATCTGCCTGAAGGAATCGACATACACGTTCAGTTTTTCCTTCAGTCCATGACTGTACAGTCCGGGACTGAAGGAAAACCGGAACGTGTATGGTAGGCCTAATACGTGGTCATTTAATATGCTCCTGGGATAATCCGAGGAGCATATTAATAACCTTTTCTCTGTTACAACCATGTTCCCAGTACCTTAGTAGGTATAGGTAGCGGGGTAGTGCGGTAGTACTGTACCTTAAGAAATTAAGTCTTAAAATTCACTTTTTGTCTTTGTTTTTCCACAGGATCACAAATTAGAGGTACAGAGAAAAATTATGCGCTTCTAAATGTATTTTTTTATTAGGGATGTAGCCTAAATGTGCTTTCCTTGATTTTATTAATATTTCATCACAAATGCAATGATCAAATCACACATAAGTAGTAATGAATCTTCTAAGACATAGTGTTATAAACAACGTGATGTTACAGACAGTGTTCTTTGTCGGGACACTGCTGAATGAGTTGCTGAACCAGTTGTTGAAGCTGGCCATCTGTGAGCCGCGGCCGATGCATCGCAGCGCTCACACGCTCTACTCGGAGTATGGGATGCCGTCTGCACACGCTCAGTTCACATGGTTCTTTGCCACTTATGTCATTTATTTTGTATTCATCAGGTAAGTGTACTCTTTAAATATCCTTAGTAAAATAAAACATACCATAAAACTCCTTTTAACTGAACCCTGTTAAACCAAACCTGAGTCAGCTGAATACAAAAATACAAATTTTAATCAGTTTGAAAATTAGCTAGGGAACGAGAACTGTTGGTTGTAGGATAACTGAAAAAAATTTAATGAAACAGACCACGACTTATACCCTGATAAAGTTACTTACTTACTTACTAACAATCAACAATAATCTACTGTTAATGATTTTAAGATGACAGTAGTTATAAAAGGCCAAATTGACTGTTGTGGATCTCTTTGAACCAAAATAGTTTTTAAATTCCAACCATTGATTATCCAAAAATATCTGTTATCGAAATTGGCCTCAGCCCTGTTCTTTTGAATAATCAGGGGTTTTCTGTTATCCTGTTAATTAAGTTTTAACTCATTATTAGGGTGTTAATTTGTGTGGTAGGAACTTAAATTTGTGAATAGTTTAAGCTAAAAAGGTAACTAAGGACCTAAGGATGTTTTTTTATTTTGCACATAATCCTGAAATGTGTAGTTTAGTGGGGCATAAAAGCATGCTTAGAGCTCAATCCAACTATAGCCAACCCATATTAGTTATCTGTAGGAGCTGTAAGAAAACAATAAGTTTGACAAATAAGAATACCTACGCCTTGGTTTTGTTTAAGTATCAACATTGATCAACTGGTGTAAAGCTATATTGATACAGTGGATGCATGATGCAGTAGATCATGTATCAGCTGTTAAAACACGTTCAGTGCGGGCTACATCTATTAATGTAGTGCGTCACAAGCGCTCCTATCGGCCTACATCTGTAGTCTGGCAACTCCCACTACATTAGTTCAATATGAGCTCAGCAATTGCCGGGGAACGTTTTAATCGCTGCCAGCCTGTAGCTTAGAATGCAAGCTTTATTTTGGTGTAGGTTAATACTAAAATTTCGCGTAAAATCCCGTCTGGCAATGCTTTTGTCCCTGTTTCGGGGATTTTCTTTCTTCGAGCCACATCACAAAGACACTGACTACGGTACCTTTAAGTGTTTCAGTGAACTACGCCCACTCCCGGCGCAACGCAGCACAATCACCACTGCTCTTTTGTTATTCTTCAGACTGAAATATTTGAATGCCAATTGCGTTTGCTGATTTGGTGGCGCGCCCAGGTGACCATTGGCGAGCGCCTGGTTGAAGTTATGCCGCACTGAACGTGTTAATGGGATGTTGTAGTGGGATGGTATTGGAAAACTGGGATTTAAGTATATTTAAAATAAGTTACTGAATTAAACTGAAACTGTAACAACGGTCTTTCAATGTTGAAATTAGATTTTTTTTAGCTGATCCAATCCTATTTGGGATTTTAGTTAATACCATTATTTAGGCCTACTTATTTACTACATCAGGTTAACAGGTATGAAAGTTATTTTTTTTTGTATTTCATGGTGTGTATATTTAGTATATTTATTATTTGTTTGACATGTGTGTTGACTGTTGTAGACTTCACCATATGAACAACAACACAACTCTAGAGAATGTGTGGAAGGCAGTGATCACAGTGTCTTGTGTCTCGCTAGCCGTTGTCGTCAGTGTAGCAAGGTGAGTCAACAGTTGATGGTTGTTTGTGCATTTATTATGATAGTTGTAGATTAAACATACTCCTTTGTAGGTTGTCAAACATATGGACCCCAACTAATGACGGTGCTGTGTTGTTTACTATTTACTTCTTGATTCTATTGTATTAAACAAACTTAAAACTATTTTTTGTCGCACTGCAGCAAAAACATCTATTTTTAATACATGCGTTACAGGTTTAAAGTGCTCTTTTACTCCCTAGGGAGTAAAGAGCCGTTTTACTCCGCAGGGAGTACAAGCCACCTGTTGTAAACTTCAATCGCAAGAAATTAAATTGAATGTATCAAAATTATATATAGTCGATTTAATTGCTTGTAGCTTATAATGGAATCCATATATAACCCAAAGTCCCAAAGTACCAATGAACTTTTGAGAAAACTACAATTCATAATACTCAAAATGTTCGTCATGACGAGAAACCTTGTGCTAAACTACGTTACTTTATTATGCCCTAGTGATGAAATATACTATTAACTTAACAATATATTTGTATACCACTGCTTTTCCTGAGTGACGGAAGTTGTAAAGTTTTCCCTAATATACAAAAGGAACATTAATTAAGATGATGGCAGGGCTAAATTCTGGCATTTGTTTTAATGCTTCAAATTTCATTACGATTGGCCTTTATTTTGTTCCAGGGTTTATCTGCAATACCACACTTGGCAGCAAGTGGTATGGGGTGCTGTAGTGGGCTTCTTGTTTGGAACAATATGGTTTGCACTTACATACCTTGTGTTGACTCCATATTTTCCTATTGTTGTCACATGGTAAGTCAGGCTATTCATTGAATTATACAGTACTAGCCGGCCCGACAGACGTCGTCCTGTCCTAGTGTGGATTTATGTCAAATGCGCGTTCATTTTCAAGATGAGTTCGTTCGCATGGCTCAATCATGTCCTGGTTAAAGTTCGTTCGCTACGCTCACTCACCATTTGGTTGCTAATTAGCTGTTGAAGTTCGTTCGCTACGCTCACTCACCTTTTGGTTGCAAATTAGCTGTTCTCATAAATTAAAAAAATATATAGTGCTGCACCCTGTTGGTAAACCTATTAACTTTTTAATGCTATTGAACATCACAGAATCAAATTGTTTAGTTGCACCAGCTGTTAAGATTCTTTAATTCCATTTAAATATGAGTACTCATAAGGTTAACATGGGAAACTCCAGAGCCACTGAGGCGGAGCCCTATTGACGGATCTGCACCAAACTTCACACAAACCATCCTTGAATAATGCTTAATAATGCCTGAAAGTTTCATTACAATCTGTCGAGCGGTTTCGGAGTCCATAAAGGACAAACATACAAATATACAAACATACAAATATACAAACATACAAACATACATTGGATTTTATATATATATATAATAAGTTTCACTTAAACCAATATTAATAATATTTATATATTTACCATTTGTTCATACAGTCATAGTGGTAGAATAATCTGTATTGGTCGTAATTTTTGGTGTTATTCTGAATCTTAGATTTCTTTCGTAAAGTAAAAAAATTGATTGTACCTCATTGACAAATGTTTGCTATTAACATTAGTACTGAATGAATATTTTTACCCATTCTCCAAAAAAAAATATTACACATGGATACTTTTGTATTTTTTTTTAAGCAATGTAGAAAGTTTTTTTTATTTGTATGGGTGGAAATGACTCTATTCATGCGGGTGGAAATGACTCTATTCATGTTGACTAGGAGTCATGCTGTTGGATAATCTTCAGTATAGTAAAAACTACATAGTAAAGAAACAGTACAAAAGAGTAATATTGATTTAGCTTCTCAGCACATGAAAAATGGGGCATTAAAAAAGCACTAAACAACGAGTGTTAGTGTATGATTTAGTTTACCAAACTCCCTTTGAATGTTATTTGTTAAGTTACTGTAAAGTTACCATTAAGATGTGATAATGTCATCTAAAAAATTTGGATGGATCATATATTATTGCTAAGTTAGATGATGTTTGAACTTGTAAAGCTGCTACCACTTTCAAAACACATTCAGAAGAATATTTTATGTGCTCTACAACACATAGAGGTTATAATACTTCTACACAACTACTTCCTCTCTCTTTGGTGGGCAATAAAGAAAAGTGTAAGGTTTGAAGAGGTTATGGTTTGTTTCTCTTACATAAATTTGTTAAATCAACTATTAATTAACTTTCACAGGCGAATCTCTGAACTGTTGCTGTTGAGGGACACAACTCTAATCCCCAACGTATTGTGGTTCGAGTACACCAACACAAGACAAGAAGCAAGGGCCAGGGGTCGTAAGTTGGTGAGCTGCAAGTCACAATGACATCTGGTGGCTGATCTCCGCAGTTACTGGCCTCGTAAGAGGTAGCGTCAAGCCAGACAGTAAATACTCACAGGCCGACTTTACGGGTAACTTATCTGTTGTGTCTTTACGTTACGAGGTGCAATTATTTTACTGTGCTGTCTCGGTGAGAATTGTTCTTGTCAGTAACTTAACTGTTTTTGTGTTTGCCATATTTAATTTAAGTGACGTAAAAGACTCATAGCGTACTTGTTTCAATGGCATTTGTGTGTTACCGACTTGATTATTAAGTCTCCAAGAATGTATAACTTAGGTGCATCTATCTTTATGAATGGTTTTGTACTTAATATGTATTATGTATACTTGTAATTAGCTGTATAGATAAACTATACCACAGGCTATATTACATGTAGGAATGTGAGGTAGCCTATGACTTGGAGGGAAATGTTGTCATTCTTGCCATCTTCATCTGCTTCACCTTTTAATCGTGCACCTCTTCTGCTGCTGTAAACACTTTTCACTAGTGTATTACACTATTGCTACTGTGTCCATGACATCAATTTAATTGATATTTAGTGAGCATTGATTAAAAGACAAATTTCTGATTACTACCATTTATTAGTGGAAGGTTGAACAGTTACAAAATAATTTTAAAAATTTCATAGTTTTGTTTCTTCAAATAAGTTTTAGCTCAGCAATTTTTTCTAGTATAAAAGAATATTGTACAGGGTGACACAAAGGAACCGGACGTTTTTTAAATAAGTAGTACACAGTAGTTACATGGAATAAAATGGTTTTAATACTGTACATAGTGAGGTAAACATTTGCCATTTGTTACAAAACAGTCATTTTTTGAAAATGACGTCATGCATATGGTGGCCATGTACTTCTCTACAAATGTTCATTCTGGTCTGAAAATCATCTGTAACTCCGGTCAGGAGGTCTTGTTCAATGCCATTGATATCTTCTGTGATTCCCAACTTCAAATCCTCTAGAGTGCGTGGTTAGTGAGCATAAAAACGATCCTTAAGAAACCCCCAAATGAAGTAATCACTAAAGGACAAGTCAGGTGACCTTGGTGGCCACGGTATGTCACCAAAGGGAGAAATCACCTTGTTAGGAAACATTCATTCAATACTGCACTCACTCTGGCAACGTTTTCGTGTGTTCTCGAAGTTCTAGAAGCCTGGTGGTTTCTTTCTTGTTAAATTTCCAGTTGTTCGGAACCCTAAAACCCACCTTAATAGCGTAATTCGGCTTGAAACCGTTCCATGGCGTTCAATATTAAAATGTCGACTAAATTCCCACTGGGTTTTGTCGACGGATTCACCATTTTGGACTGAAGTTTCGTATGCGAAAACGCGATGGTCTAGGGTCCACTAAGCCATTTCAACAAAAATGGCAAGCCTTACTGAAGGTAATGACATAACCTCAATCTTCCTACAACGTACGACAACAATGGAACAGCTGTTAAAAAAACGTCCGGTTCCTTTGTGTCACCCTGTATTTAGGTACCCTCCACTCTTGTCCCTCTACAAGTTTAGTTTGTTATTACCAACAATACACAATATTGACGTAATCCTGAATTTTTCTAAGTTTCATGTAAAAATCTGTTAGACGTTTTCAATTTACAGATATTTTATTTTTCACAATTTGTGGTAGAATTCAGGAGCAGTTACTGCCTCCTTGTGTTTATGGACTTTTACATCATCACTAGTGTCGTGGGGCGCATCCACACCTGGCACAGCCAAAGTGTTAAAGGGGGATTTATAGAGTATCAACCAACCAGATTTTAACTACAGGAGAGGTTTAATCTAAAGAATTTTCGCCATGCAAATATTTCTAGGCTAAATATGTGTGATTATTAATTTGCATTAAAGTATATAGGTAAACAAGAGATTAAGGTTCAAAATATTAACCTCAGGTCTAAATTTTTTTTTTAATAATGTTGATAGGCTAGCTTGATCTTTGCATTGTACTATTTTGGGGGAAAAACATCATTTATCAAACAACCATAGGTGTAAGTAAAATGTTTGGTGATTTAATATTCACTGTAATACTGCCATATTGTTATATAACACACATTTTAAATGTAATAAATGTATATCTGTACTATTAATGGAACAATGCGATTCTATGAAATAAGGCCTAAAGATGTTTATTCTTAATTTTGTTTTAGAGAGATAAGTATGGGTTCTTGTTATCCACAGGTTGTTTTTGCTTTGTCATTATTGTATAATTTATTCCCAGTGCAGTATTTTCTTGTTCCATGTTAGTACTAGTATTCGTCACAGAAAAGAATGAAACAAAGAACTTTTATGTAAATGTTGTTTTGGCCTGACCAATCCCCAAAACCGGTTTTATGGATAAGAGGATTGAGATGTAATTGACGATAAAACCACAATACAGGGGTTTTGGTTGTATTTTGATGAGTGGAAGACCATTAGGACCCCAGTTAGTCGCCTTAAAAGTGTACCATTGAAATTTTCCTGCCTTATTATTTCTTCTCTGAAATTTACATGTTAGCTGGTTAATTTTGTTAGAGTAAAATCCTGCTGCTGTCTTTTAGTCCAAACAATGTGTCTGTGTAACATTGTAAAGTTTGTTATATTTGTATTTGACTGGCTGGGTAGCTGAGTGGCTATCAAAATGTCGCCGGTTTGATCATGAGAAAGGTCAACGATTCTTTTATGGTTCAAAACTGGACCCAGCTGTCCCAGATCATTGGGCTTTAAATAAATTATCGAAGAACCAGCTGATCTTGGTCAGTAACAAAGCTACACAGTCATCTCACACCATTCTAAGGTGGCGGCCCCATCTTAAATAATTATCGATCATTTGCTGTTCTAGAGTTAGTAAAGTGTGTGGTAATTGTTTGGTGACAGACAGGAACCCCTAAAATGCTTTTTACCCACCTTTAGAGTATTTTGACTTAACCTTACTCGACTTATGGAAATGTAATAATAACAATAGAAAATAACCTTTGAGAAAGAATTGCTTTTGTGTTGAGTTCTACATTTTTGTCCCTGCGACAATATGGAACATGTAAACAATTTTTGTAACTTTGTCAACACCATTTATATGTTAGAAGTTATAACTGTTCATGTAGTAATACATAACAGTGAAGTATCATTGTATTTCTACTTTAAAATTCTTGTAGGCTTCAATCTCCTCAATTTGTTATCCAGAATGCATAAAGTGCATTATCTACGGCCATGGATATCCTTGAAGCACACTCAGAAATAGATATGCCAACTACATTCATTGCATGGAAAAATATATATCTGTAATCCTATTACCGTCTATGAGTCAAGTAAGTCTTTGCATTTATTACACAATGTCCTGGAGTTTTTTATATTTTGCTAAGCCAATGGGATTATCACAAAAACCTGACAATTTAAGTTATAATGGTGAATTTCACACCAGACCAAAAAGTGAGGATCAGCAGGCTAACAATCTTCTTTTTCTTACACAAATAGCATTTTTTAACATTTTAAAAGTCCTAACCTTGGTCTTGTTTCAAGTTCAAGTAAAAAAAAATATTTTAGCTCAAGTAGTGAACACTGTATCTCACTTTAAAAATAAACAAAAAGTGAAAATAGTTTTATTTTATTTTTTGGCAAGTCTTAGTGAGTCTATAGTGGTTAACTAATTTATTTGCAGGAACGGAAAGTAACATTTCCAACTTGCAAAACCCTTTTTTGGTTTATTAAAAATGATGTTCTGCTGAGTATAGGTGACACGTGGTGATAATGCATTAATGTCTAAGCTTAAGTTTCTTAATGTTTGATACAATAAGACAGACTAATTAAAATAAGCCTTTCAAATGCAATGCTTCCTGTATTAAGTAGAGTAGAAGCAGTTTTGTAAATCATGTCTACTGTTTATGGCACTGTCGAGGTAGCATTCTTGATCAATTGAAGAAAGATTTGCTTCTAATAACGCAATCATAGCCGTATTTGTACGAACAATACTTTTCTTGGAACACAACGCACAAATAGATTAAGTGAATAATTATTGTGATTGATTAAAGTTGTTTTGTATGTATGTACCTAGTGAATTGAAAATGCTTTGCATGCATTTGTAAATATATTTTTTGTATATATGTGTAAGTTGTATATAGTTTATTGTAATAAATAAAATCTTATGTTTGGTAAGAAGAGTATTTTTCATACTTTGGTCGGATAATACCTCTTGCATGTAATCTTGAAACCAGAGCCAGTCTTGGATGATGTGGGGCCCAGTACAAATATTCAGAGCGGGGCAAAAATTTAGGATAACAACTAAACAAAAACTCAATGTATAATATTGCCAATAATGGAATTGCTTCCCCTAGCAAAGCCTAAGGCAGGTTCTGTTTTAAAACAAACTGAATAGCTAATAATTACTGACTGTCTTGCATCTTAAAATTAGAGGATATTATTAAAATGTTCATTACATTACAATACCTATAACCGATTAATAATTTTCAAAACCAAGCCAAAAGATGTATATCCATTATTCTCAAATTTTATTCATTCGATTCAAAGACATTTTTACACAACAACCAGGTGGCTCGAGTATGTGCAAATTCAAATTGTGGAGGCTGCAATCGGTAGGTATATTATTTTTTGAATCTCAGAGATTTTCTGAGGGGGACAGAGAAACATTAGTTACTAATTATAGAGGTTTTTGAATTAGTGAGGTTTTACTGTAACTTCTTAATTAATACTTAATCGTACTTTAACTAAGACCGTTTTTTAATTACAAAAATCACTACTCATAGAGAGGTTATGCTTACCTTAATGACTTCTCATTGCCACTGATTGTGATACAACTTATTGTCCCAACCACTCACTCATTGTTTAATCAATTATTAAAATTAGTCTTAACAGCTGATGAGTGATGTTCGAGGTTTTACAATTTTACTACTTTTCTCTCGAACCTCAGTTGCCTAAACTTGTACTGGTAAGTAACAAAACAGTTTCTAAGAACTGAATTGTCAAGTCTAGTTTTTAAAAACTGTAGTAGGTAAATAGTCTTTACACGATCGTTACAATACCCAAATTACCTTACCTACCCTAAAATATCACATTTATATGTTGATAAACTTTTAATAACGAGGACAGGCCCGTTTTTGACAATGTCAGCGCCCTAGGCACAACTAATAGTAGCGCCCCTTTGAAATATACAGGGTGTCCCATAAGTAAACAGCCAAACTCCAGGAAATGGTTCTATGGGTAAAAAAAACAAAAATCAAGAATAACACAAATGGCTTTGTGAACCAGATATTCGCCATTTTGTTTTTTTTTTCACATGAAATTTTTATCTTTAAAGTTTTTCAAGCGATCATTATGAAACTTGGTATGTATGTTAAGGTAACAGACACCCATGTTAGAAAAAATCATTTTGATTCATCATAAATCTTCAAAATGGAGGCCATTTTAATTTTTTTAAGCTTAAACTACAAAACAATGGCAGATTTTATGAGAAAACGACAAGAACATTTTTATTCGGAATTTTAAATTCCCTATCAAACGATACCAAGCTCAAAAAGATTGAATAATAAGAGATAGCTGAAGTATCACGATTTTTAGTTGTAAAATGGGACAAACCTGACTTGCTTAGCCTTTTTCTACCCCATTTTACAACTAAAAACCGTAATATTTCAGCTATTTCTGATTCGATCTTTTTGAACTTGGTATCGATCGATAGGGAATTAAAAATGCCAAATAAAAGTGTTTTAGTAAATTTTTTCATAAAATCTGCCATTTTTTTGGAGTTTGATTTAAAAAAATTAAAATAAATGGCCACCATTTTGAAATTGTATGATAAGTCAAGGTTAATTTTTTTTTACATGGGTCTCTCTCTATATCATCTATGCCAAGTTTCATAAAGATCGGTTGAAAAACTTAAAGATAAAAATGTTAATGTGAAAAAAATGAAATGGCGAATATCTGGTTAATGAAGCCATGATTTTAGAAAAAATAATTCTATTCTCGATTTTATTTTTATATTGACCCATAGAACCATTTTGGAAGACCCATAGAGTTTGGCTGTTTACTTACGGGACACCCACTTACGGGGTGACCCTTTTAAAATAAAAGGGTGGGCCCTTTTAAAAGGGTAATCCGGGAATTATGCATGAATAATGTTATATTTCTACCTGGAATTGTCAATTTACCACGATCGCGCATGACAACAGTGACCTTTACATGATCGTGGGAGACGATAATATGTCTACACAAGGCCGAGAGGGATGATCAGAATATTACCGCGACCGCAGAAGACGATGATGATCTGCTCACGACTGCGGGATATGATCAACATTTTGCCGCAATCGCGGGAGGCAATTACGACGTCTTCACGACCGCTAGAGACGATTACGATCTCTACATTACCGAAGGATCACAATCGGCCGCGAGGGATTATCAGAATTTTACCGCGATCGCGCAAGACAATAATAATGTCCACACGACCGAGGGAAAAGATCAGAATTTTGCCTCATTAGCGGTAGACGACGATAATCTCTTCACGACCGTGGGAAATATTTAGAATTTGCCGCGATCGCGGAAGACGATAATGATGTCTATACGGCCACGGGAGACGATAATGATGTCAACACGGCCACGTTGGATTATCAGAGGTTTACCGCGATCGCATGTAAATACAATTACAAAATATTTTTTTTATTTTCCAATTTTTGGCGCCCCTCAAAAAAACCAATTGCCTAGCGCCCTAGGCACGTGCCTACCGTGCCTATTCGGTAAATCGGCCCTGAACGAGGAGACAATTTTCCATGGACTTCTACGGCATACTTGGTTTGTTTTGAAGCTTAACTATCTGTTTGTAGTGTCAGGAATTCCCCACACACGACTCCAATATGAATTTTTTTGGAGTAAATGGATTATTTTGTCTGACTCAAATAATTGACTTAATCTAATCCTCATTAACAGTTCCCACCCTCCGGACAGCTCACCTTTACTGCTTCACCACTTCCTACGTCATGGATCTGTTTTCCTCCCTTCCTATAGCATTTTAGGTTTGCAGATACCTTAATCTAATCGTCACAAACAGTTCCCACTCCGCACGGCTCGCCTTTACTATTTCCTTCACCACTTCCTACGTCGCGGACCTGTTTCCCTCCCTTCCCATAGCATTTTAGGATTGCAGATACCATACTCTAATTGTTATAAACAGTTCCCACACTCCGGACAGCTCAACTTAACTTCTTCCTTCACAACTTCCTACGTCGCGGACCTGTTTCCCTCCCTTCCCATAGCATTTAAGGATTGTAGATACCTTAATCTAATCGTCATAAACAGTTCCCACACTACTGCTTGCCTTTACTACTTCCTTTACCAGTTCCCCCACTCTGGAGAGCTCGCATTTACTACTTCCTTCACCACTTCCTACGTCGTGGACCTGTTTTCCTCCCTTTCCATCGCATTTTATTATTGCAGATACCTTAATCTAATCATCATAAACAGATTCCACACTCCAGACTGCTCGCCTTGACTACTTCCTTCACAACTTCCTACGTCACACACCTGTTTCCCTCCCTTCCTATAGCATTTTAAGATTGCAGATACCTTAATCTAATCATCATAAACAGTTTCCACACTCCAGACTGCTCGCCTTTACTACTTCCTAGGTCGCGGACCTGATGCCCTCCCTTCCCATAGCATTTTAGGATTGTAGATACCTTAATCTAATCCTCATTAACAGATCCCGGACAGCTCGCCTTTACTACTTCCTTCACCACCACTTTCTACGTCGTGTTTGTGAGGATTAGATTAAGGTATCTGCAAAAAGTTTGCAGATAGCTTAATCTAATCGTTACAAACAGTTACCACAATCCAGACGGCTCACCTTTTCTACTTCCTTTACCACTTCCTACGTCGGGGACCTGTTTCCCTCCCTTCCCATTTTAGCATTGCGCAGGCATTTTAGGATTGCAGATACCTTACTCTAATTGTTATTAACAGTTCCTACACTCCGGACTGCTTACCTTTACTACTTCCTTCACCACTTCCTACGTCGCGGACCTGTTTCCCTCCCTTCCAATAGCATTTTAGGATTGCAGATACCTTAATCTAAACGTCATAAACAGTTCCCACACTCCACACTGCAACCCTTTACTATAATCATAGAAAAAAAGTCCTGCTACAATGTATCGAGTAATCTTCAGTATAGTCTTTGCTCAATAGCAACAACTGATGTTTTTCCTTTTGTACTGTATTTGTAATTTGCTAGTAAGTATACTGTGGATAGACAACTAACTTGCAAGTCTTTTGTTTACCTTTTCTTGTTATTTAATTCAGCCAAGATGGTTACTTAGCAACCCATAAGACAAATGTTAAAAAAAATGTGACTTTCAGTTTCATTTTTCTACGTAATTAGATCTTTGTTGGCAGTTCTAACTGCAGTAAACTCGTTTTAAGGCCAGAAATAAACTACTTACAACATTTGAAGAAAATCGTCGGAGCCGTTTTTGAGATCTTTGTGCAAACATACATACAAACATTGCTCGTATTAGAGTATGGGATAATACTACTTGAGACTTTTTTATACATAATCCAGAGTCTCTAGTCCATTGTTAGGCCCTGTACACATGAGGGCGGCAGCTTGGCCGTCACTAGACCGCCAGTACTGTATTTACCCAATTATTTTTCTATTGTTATACTTGATAAGTCTTTTCAGCAAAAAACTCAACTAACTCTTGCCACGCAATCTTTTTTTAGTTTATATCCCAAATGCATCTTCTTTTTGTACTTCTTTAAAGAACAGTTCAATGTCAAAAGTTTTCTGGTTTCACAGCAGCCCGCATGACCTTTGTAAACTTACACTACAAGCACTACATCAACTCCAGCCACAGCTACACACTTCAATAACACAGAGAGCGATGTCCACAGGGCAAGCGCGCAGATCTGTGATCATATAGTAGCAACTGCAGTCAACCGTGGCGGCTACCGCCCTCAGTGTACGCTCTCTTCCAACTCTAGTTAACTCCAACCGTGCGGGAGCTGCGGCGGTCGAAGGGAAATCTACGGTTGACTGGGTTTGTTGCGGTTGATTGGAAGTGGGCAGTTGCATGTGAACGGTCCCATTTGCTCCTTTGTACTTTCAAACGCCACGGTTCCTGCACAATAGCAACCGCGGCGGCTGCC